CTCCGGAGGTGGGATGAGAAGGCAGAAAGGGTTAGGAGCTGGTTGAATGGACATGGGAGATCAGGGGTGGAAAGGAGGAGTGTGCTGTCACAGTATAGGGAGAGCAGTTAGGGTCACATAACAATGTATGTATAAATTTTCATATGAGAGACTAACGAATTGTAAACTTCCACTTAAACTACAACAATTAAAAAAAAGAAATGGGGTTATTCAATGTATGTATAGGTTTTTGTATGAGAGACTGACTTGAATTGTAAACTTTCTTAAACTGCAGCAATAAAAAATTAAAAAAAAGAAATGGGTTGTTTTTATCAAAGCCAATATTAATTACATTTTATTTGTTTCAACAAGTTCCTTTTGCACAGAGAATGGATAGACTTCAACCTTCCCCTCTTTGATTTATTCCAAATTTCTGGTTGGGCTTGATGTACATACTAGCAAGGGGAATATCTGTCCCTTTTGTGAGGAAGGAAGCTTCAGCAGGAATCTGTTTGGAAAACATTTTTAACATGTTGATTGCTTAATAAAATAAGTATGCTTTTCAACTTCTTGTAGACTTGAATAATGTGAAGAACTTATGTTAATTTAACTGTCATTAAAGGAAAGGAAATAAAATGGATGTTGAATAAATAGAAATGGAATAATCACTAGAGTTTTAGTTAAATCAGTGTGAACTAATTATGTAATAATTTGAAAGACTTTTTAAAAAATCCTTTAAAGATGAAGGTGAGACAGGAAGTCTCTCTACCCATATTGTTATTGTATTGCATCAGCCACACTGCCACTGCCTGTGGAGGGACTTTTGTAAAACACTCAGTTTGTAACAGCTCTTGCTGGAGCCTTGAAAGGATTCCTGAAAGAACTAGGAAAGGAAGAAAAACAACAACAGGAAAATGACAGAATTCTACGCCTGTGAAGTCACGTAATCCATCTCCGTTGTAGAGCGATACTCTCGCAGTACTCTAAAGAGAAAGTAGGTTTTCTCTTCATTGAGATGTCCAGGGAAGGAAACTTTGTTTTCCCCTCAGTGTTACCTAAACCTTTTCTGCTGAGATTTGTCTGCTTCTCTTGACCGCTCTCTCTATCTTTATAATAACACTCGGGTAGTTACTACTCAGTTTCCATTGAAACAATCTCTTTTGCAGTTTATTAAATTAACCTACTTCTCCCTGGGTCAGTTGAGAAGCGTTTGTAGGTTTTAAATTTTTTCCCTGTGACCTTTTCATGGGCTAGTGGATGGGAAGATTGTAAATTCATAATACACAATGTTTTGCCTGCTTGGTTTCTTACCCCAGCCTCCAAGAGCATGTGTGTGGATAACCTCAAAGAAATTCTTAATTCTTGGGGTTTTCTATCCATGCATCTGCAGTCCATCCCCGACCCCACTCCTGAGGCCTAACCACAATGATGACATTGAAAGATTAGGATGTGTTAGTAGTGTGGTCAGTACATGGATTTTGAGGGACTTTTCCTTCCGAATAACCCTCAAGTCAAGTACTAACCAGAGGTTTTGTAGTTCTCTTATTTGTGTTATAATACAGCTTTCAGATCAAGGTGGCAATATCATTAATGATTTTTTTCTCTTTCATTTCCCAAAAGGATTTGAGGCATTGATGAAAAACGTAATTTAGTACTAAAATTTAAAAAGATTCGTATTCACTGTCTATTCATATTTTCCAAAATTTTACTTTTTTGAATAAGCAATATATTACATGCTACAAAAAACTAAAAAATGCAAAAAGGTGCACAGTAAAAAGTCTCCTCTCACCCTGTCCCCTTGCCACCCAGTTTTCCTCCCTGGAGGGAACCAGTATCAGCAGTTTACTGTGTCTTCCTTCAGAAATACTTTAAGCGTGTTGTTGTTGTGTGCTGTTGAGTTGATCCCAACTCATAGCGAACCTGTATGCCAGAGTAGAACCGCTCCATAAGGTTTTCTAGGCAGAAATCTTTACGGGAGCAGATTGCCAGATCTTTTCTCCTGTGGAGCCATTGGTGGGTTTGAACTGCTGAGCTATGGGTTAGCAGCCGAGCATTTAACCATTGTGCCACCCATCCTCCTTAATTTAAGCATAGGCATATTTTTTCATCTTGGTGTACAAGTCCTTATACATCATAAATACTGTCTGATACCTTGCTTTTATCACATGAACAGTATATCATGGGCTTATCTCCAAGTTTGGGTCTATAAAGAGCTTTCTCATTTTTATGGTGATTGTTTAGAAAGTACCATATTCTATTTAACCACTCCTCTTTTGCTGGGCCCTGAACTTTCCATCAGTATAAACAGTCCTGCGGAGTGGAACCTTGCACGCACAATTCTGTATTTCGTTCATTCTACGCATATTTATTGTGTACCTACTCTAAGTTCTGGAAATATAGCAGTGAACCTGCAGACCCACTCGAGCTTAGATTCAGATTGGGGAGACAGCCAACAAATGAGGAAACAAACACAGATGTATTGAGTTTATGTTAATGGTGATGTAACGTTTTGGAAAAGGATAGTGATAATGGCACAATATGAAAAATGTAATCAGTGTCATTGAATTGTAAAAGTGGAAGTTGTATTGGCGAGTGTTTTGCTGTGTATATTTTCATCACAATTTTTACAAATCAAACTGATTTTTTAAAATATATGTATAAGCGGTTAGGGATGGTAAGGGCTTTGAAGAAAAACAAGGCAGGGACCTCCACAAACAGAGGAAATGTAGGTACTGGCCTGATTAGTGCGTGGTGTTGGGCCCCTACCTCACTTACCCAGGATCCGCACAGACTTCGTAAGACCCACAGAATAGGGGACTATTGGGAGATTTGAATCCCAGGAATTAAGTTGTTGAAGACTCGAAACAAAATATTATTCCAGCCATTTGTGTAGGGCAGGGATTCGTCTTTTTTTTCCGTCCCCTCTCACACCCTGCCAGTACCAGTACCACTACCAGTTGCCTTCTGGTCGATTCCAACTTATGGCGACTCTGTGTGTCAGAGTAGAATGGTGCTCCATAGGGTTTTCAGTGGCTGATATTTTTTGGAAGTAGATCACCAGGACTTTCTTCCAAGGCACCTCTGGGTGGATTTGAACCTCCACCTTTTCAGTAAGCAGCTGTGTGTGTTAACCTTTTGTACCACCCTGAGACTTCTCACTCCCTAGATGAGTGTTTTTCAAGCTTTTCCCCCATTATTAACCCACATACCTCCCTTTCCCCTGCCCTGAACTTTTTTTTGAACTATTTTTCCCCCTAATCACTCCTTCCCAATGAAATTGTAGTAACCATGGGTATTAATTTATGTACTGTGGCCCTTTGGAGGACTATAAACCATTATAATATCTAAGGTTCCCCTACCCCTACCCAAAGAACCTAGGCCCTGGCAGAATGTAGACTCTCCATCTGTGACCCTCACTGCCAGGGACCTGCCAGCCAGGCTGGTTCTCCATGTGGGTGGTGCTAAAATCACAGTAACAAAGTTGTCTTGGTAGGATTCTCTTTGTCTTGAAATAAGAAAGACAGAATTGGTTGTTACTGACCCAGTCCCTCTAGTGGCATGCACCAGGTAGCTTGCTTTGTGTGTAAAATTGGTCGGTGGTAAAGAGGTGGGATGACTTGTGAGCATTGCCAGGATGGGAACAACAGGAAGGGGCTAGGAGGAAGGTAAGAGCCAAAAAGGAAGGGTCTTCCTGTTCCCTGCCCTTTTCTGCACTCCCTTGATACAGTATTCAGACTTAACATCCCGTAGATTGTAAAAATAAACATTTATTCAAGCACGTACTAGGTGTCAGGAGTAAGCTACAGCTTTTCACGTACGTTGACTCATGCCATCTTCACAGCAGCCATTCATGATTGCTTATAATATCCCCACTTTATGAATGTGGTGAAGAGGGTCACATAGAAGGCCCACAAGTGTCAGAGTTGGTCATTCTCACATCACTCTCCCCCTCTGCCTGTATACAACACGTAACTTCATAATGTGGTAGAGCTGGCTGCGACCTGGCTGCCTCTCTCCCCAGAGTATGAGCTCTCTCAATGCAGGAGCAGTGTTTTATCCATCTTTGCCTGTCTGGTCTGTAGCATTGAGCATGGCACAGCATAGGTACTGGGTGAACAATTGATGGAAGGATGGGTAGACTGGCAAATGAATACATCTACATGTGAAGAAATTATTTCTTGAGTAAGGGAACCCTGAACCTCTCCACTTGTAATCTGGTTCTGCCCACAGGTCCCTGCCATGTGGTTCCCCATTGCCAAAACTGATTTCCCCAAGTTACTGGTGATCTCCTTGAAGGCAAACTACATCATGCTCTTCTCAGTCCTCATTTTGCTCTCTCTCTCTCTCTCTCTCCCCGGCCTTCACACTTGTCCGTTCTCCCTTGGCTTCCCTGCGACTCTTCTCTCCAGCGGATGGTAGCTCTATCTCCTTCTCCTTTGTAGACGCTTCTTTTGTACTATCTTAAAATCAAGGAGACCCAGACCTGGTTAAATGAGATGATGTGTGTAAAGCCCTAAACACAGCCTGGTATGTGGTAAATGCTTAATCAACATTGTTGTTGCTAGTTCCTACGGAGTTGGCTCCAACTGTAGGTGACCTTGTATATAACAGAACAAAACAGTCCCCAGTCCTTTGCCATTATTGTTGGTAAGTTTGAGTCCACTCTTGTAGCCATTCTGTCAAACCACCTCATGGAGGATTTCCCTCGTTTTCACTGACCCTCTACCACCATGATGTCCTTTTCTACCAATTAGTCTTTCCTAATGACTTGTCTAAAGTAGGAGAGTCGAAGTCTTACCATGCTCACTTCTAAGGAGCGTTCTGGTTGTATTTCTTCTAAGACTGATTTGTTTGTTCTTTTGCCAGTCCATGGTATACTCAATGTTCTTTGCCAGCAACGCAGTTTGAACACATCGATTCTTCTATCTATGCATCACAGCAGTCAACATGAGCTGGTTTCATTGTTCTTCATGCACTTTCTTTTTAACTGTCTCCCATCTTGTCTTTGCTTTGATTTGCAGCTCCAGGGTCTGAGCCACAATGTGATCTTTACCTTGGATTCCTTGTTAAAAGGAGACTTAAAGGGAGTCAAAGGAGTAAGTGTTCAGAAATTTGATTTCACTTTAACTTGAAAGAATTGATTTTTTTCCTTTTAAGATCATAGTAGTGCTTGTATTTAAAAAGCACTCTGAACATTCTTAGCATAAAAAAAAGTTCTTGGAAAATGGTCATTCAAAAGATGTGCCACTTCACATAATGTTACTGATGGAGGAACAAGATAATAGACACTTGCAGAAAGATGGTGGGAGGCTAGGTGGGTGGGGGAAAGGAGTCTAAATCTGAGTCTGAGCTCCGCTACTGGTGACCTCGCAACTGTGGACTGGCCCTGTCAGGAGCCCCTGAGGCCTGCTTCGTCAATAGGATCAGGAATGCTCCCCTTCCTACCTCTCACAGGTTTATCATGTGTAATAAATGGTGGAATGTGCATGAAAACATGTTGGTTAAGATGTTATTTCAAAATTATTCAGTAACCTTAAGCAAAAGTAAATAAATGCAATTTCAATTTCTTTTTCTTTCCTAAGGATCTCAAGAAGCCATTTGACAAAGCGTGGAAAGATTATGAGACAAAGTTGTAAGTGTTTTTGTTTCGTTTATTTTGTTTTGTTTTTTAATGTTGTCATGATGAGGATTTAGCTCTTGCACAACCACCCCATCATTTTCCTGACCCCTTCTGTCCAGTATGGTTAATCCAACAATGTTTGGTTAAGTCAGTGGTCAGTGTTTACATTTTTATGAGTGTGTAAATGTTTATTGCCAGTCTGAATGGTATATTGTGATTGAATTTCCATTCTTTTGGTATAATTTTTTGCTTTTTCTTAACTGTATAATGACCGTGTTTCTTCACTCACTTAATTTTATGTGAATCTTTCGTGAATTTTATCTCCAACAGATGGTCAAACACCTGTCAATAATATTTGTTTAGAAAATACATTATAATACTTACATATCTACTACCATTACATTAGCTGTCAGTTCCTTCTCTCTCTCCCAGGAACATCCTTCCAGAGCTTTTTAGATCAGCGGTACAGCGTCATCCAGGGACTACCTTTTCCCTTTTTGTGTTAGATCTTCTACTTCCTTTTTCCTGGTTTAGTCCAGTCTTTTGCTGGAATGCTTCTTTCAGTAGCTTCCAGGGTACAGCTATAAAGGAAGCAAAATTTTCAGATCTCGGCATGTCCAAAATATCTTCATTCTGCCACCGCACGAAAGGAGAGTTTCACTAAATATAAAATACTGGATGTATAATCATTTTTTCTCAAAATGTTGCTCTATAATTTTTAATTTCCAGTGCTGATGAAAAATCTGATCCCTTTCTGATTCCCATTTCTTGATATGTGACTTTTTGTTCGGTTGGTTGGTTGGTTTTTGTTTCTTAGTTTCAGTAAGAGAATGTTTAGTTTCTTTATATACAGGCGTACCTCAGAGATATTGCAGCTTCAGTTCCAGACCACCGCAATAAAGCAATTATTGCAATAAAGCTTGTTGTTGTTAGGTCCCATCTAGCCAATTCCGTTTCATAGTGACCCTATAGGACAGAGTAGAACTGCCCTGTAGGGTTTCCAAGGAGCAGAACTGCTGACCTTTTGGTTAGCAGCTGAGCTCTTAACCACTACGCTACCAGGGCTCCATAAAATAAAGCTAGTCACACGGATTTTTTGGATTCCCAGTGCATATAGAAGTTATGTTTACGCTATACTGTAGTGTCTGTTAAGTATGCAGTAGCATTATGTCTAAAAATAACAGTGTACATGCCTTAATTAAGAAATGTTTTATTGCTAAAAATTACTATCATCTGAGCCTTCAGTGAGTCGTAATCTTTTTGCTGGTGGGGGATCTTGCCTCGATGCTGATGGCTGCTGACTGATTAGGGTGGCGGTTGCTGAAGGTTGGTGTGGCTCTGGCAATTTCTTAAAATAAGACAGCAGTGAAGTTTGCTGCATTGATGGACTCTTCATTTCATGAAAGATTTCTGTGTAGCATGCAATGCTATTTGATAGCATTTTACCCACAGTAGAACTTCTTTCAGATTTGAAATCAATCCTCTCAAACCTTGCAACTGCTTTATCAACTAAGTTTATGTAGTATTCTAAATCTTTTGTTGTCATTTCAATAATGTTCACAGCATCTTCACCAGGAGTAGATTTTATCTCAAGAAACCACTTCCTTTGCTCATCCATAAGAAGAAACTTCTCATCCATTGAAGTTTTATCATGAGATTACAGCAGTTCACTCACATCTTCAGGCTTTACTTCTGATTCTAATTCTCTTGCTGTTTCTACCACATCTGCAGTTACTTCCTCCACTGAAGTCTTAAACCCCTCAAAGTCATCCATGAGGTCGGAATCAACTTCTTCCAAACTCCTGTTAATGTTGATATTTTGACTTCCTCCTATGAACCACAAATGTTCTTAATGGCATCTAGAGTGGTGAATCCTTTCCAGAAGGTTTTCAATTTGCTTTGCCCAGTTCCATCAGAGGAATCACTATCTATGGCAGCTATAGCCTTATGAAATGTATTTCTTAAATTGTAAGACTTGAAAGTTGAAATGACTCCTTGATTCATGGGCTGCAGAATGGATGTTGTGTTAGCAGACATGAAAACAACATTAATCTCCTTGAATGTCTCCATCAGAGCTCTTGAGTGACCAGGCACATTGTCAGTGAGCAGTAATATTTTGAAAGGAATCTTTTTTTTCTGAGCAGTAGGTCTCAACAGTGGGCTTAAAATATTCAGTAATCCATGTTGTATGACATTTCTTGATGTGTCTGCATTGACCTTTTGCAGTTTTTTTAGTCCTGAAAATTCTTCTTGCAGTTCCTCCTGTGACTTTTTTGTTTTGTTTGTACGTTCTCCCTCTCGTTTGTCTGTTTCTAGAACTCTTCATTGTATAATATTGGACATCTAGTTTGTTCTTATAATTTTCTTCTTTTTTCTGTCCTATTTTCTTTATCTTTTTTTATATTTTAGGTTATTTCTTCAGTGTTTTTTTTTTCTCACTACCTCAGCTAACTTTTTATTTTGGCAATCACATTTTAAATTTCTAAAAGCTTGTTTTTTCTCAGTGAGGTTTTTGTTTTTGCTTTGCCTTTTTTGTAGTTTCTTATTCTTGTTTCAAAGATGCACTAGTTTATCTCACTGAGGATTTAATTGCTTTTTATAAAATTTTTTATCTGCTCCTTTTTTGCTTCTGTTTCCTCCTGGTTCCTACTTTGGCTAGCCGTTTATATTTCAGAGTGAAGCACCTAAAAGCTGATTGAAAGCTCATGTGCATGAGCAGGGTTTATCGACTGGCGAGCTTTCCTTTTAGGTTTTAGGATGCCAAGACAGCCTTTTCACCTGAAATATTCCAAATACCAGTGTCTGGAGGTCTGTTTTCTAGAACCATTAGTTCCTTCAGCCCCTGCCTAGCAGTTGTGTATGTTGGTATTCTGGAAGCTATACAAGAGAAGAGGGCAGGGATTCCCATAGTTCAGAATGCAGATTTTCTCTTACTCCTTCTCTCCAGCCTTACTCTTCCAAATATTTCTTAAATTCTCTCATCCTTTTTTGTCTGTAGTTCTTTTCACCTCTGGGACTGTATCCCTTTTTTATGCCTTTACTATTGTTTTATTGGGATTGCTGGAGGAAGAAGTAAAAACCAGCAGTCTTATTATTGTTAAGCTGTACCTGTCCTCCAGTACTTCTTCTCAAGCCTCTATAGCTTCTTATTTCTCTTCTTACCCACACCAGTGGAGAGAAAGCTGAGATTTATTCTGTTTCTGGTAAATTCCTTGCTCTTTTGCCTCTTTGACTACCAAGGTGCCGTGATGAAAGACTTGCTTAGATACAGCATTAGGGTATTAAATTGAATCCCAACCAAGTTTGTAGTAGATTTTCCATTAGGTTGATGGGCTGATTTCCCTTGTCTATTTATACGTAGACAAGGATGTTGGCTTTCTTTGGGGTTTGGTTCCTCCTACTACCACCACTTAAAAGAAGACTTGAAGGCTAAATCAATTAGTCTTGGCATTCACAGCTGGAAATAACAGGCTGTTTTTGAAATTAGAAGTCCATTTTCAAGTTAAATGGATTTTTCGAATGAGGGCTGTGATTATTGGTATTATTACCAGAGTATCAATTATCATAGCCAAGTAATAGCCTCAGATGCAGTGTGTTTAATGTGGGCCTTCATTCTTATTTCCCTGGTTCCCTCCTGGCCCTCTCCCCAACTGAAGAACGTTTTCATGGAATTCCAAATTCTACCTTGAGATCTCGTTCAATCCTTATTTTGTACAGTCCAATGCCAAGTAATTGAATGGTTAAAATGTGCTGTTGGGATTTGGAAATAGCCCAAGCTTGGAGGAATATTGGACATCACCTTTAAGTAGGCCCATTATATGCCATAATTGTCTTGAAATAATTCTAAGTCTCATAATCTTTATCAGTAATCAAGAAATGTCTCAGATCCCCAACTTTTTAATGTCCCCCTCGTGATAAAGTATCTTACCCAAAAAAAGGTAAATTATCAAATTGTCATCACACCAACCAAAATGTAAGAGTTTATATGCATCCATCCAAGTATAAGATCAAAGTTAAAATGTAAGAAGTTTTCTGAATCAACATCTATAAAATGTATGTTCTCTTTGAACTTAGGTTTTTACTTCTGACTGATGCCACCAAGCATTCTTGTCTCTTTAGTAATTAAGAAATAATCAAATGAGTCCCTGGTTGGTGCAAACAACACGTTCAGCTGCTAACCAAAAGGTTGGAGGTTCAAGTACACCCAGAGTCACCTTGGAAGAAAGATCTGGTGATCTCCCTCCACAAGTCAGCCGTTGAAAACCCTGTGGAGCACAGTTCTGTTCTGACTTGCATGGGGTGGCAGTGAGTCAGAGTCGACTCTGCAGCAGCTGGTTTGGGGTTTTTGTTTGTTTTTTCTTTCTTGTTAAGAGAAAGACATGACTGCATTTTGTTGTTGGTGTTGTTGTTTAATTTTTTTAATGATGACATCTCCATTCATTACAGTACAAAAATTGAAAAGGAAAAGAGAGAGCATGCAAAACAGCATGGGATGATCCGCACAGAGATAACAGGAGCCGAGATTGCAGAAGAAATGGAGAAAGAAAGGCGCCTCTTTCAGCTCCAAATGTGTGAAGTAAGAACAAACTTTTTAATCGTCCTCCTAGAATTTTAGTATCTGTAATCTTCTGCTCGTCAGCAGTTTTTATGCTTAAGAGCAGGCTGTGTTTGACTATTAGAGGAGAGGACTGTTTCGTAAGGATTCTAATCTCCATTTTTCTCCAAGCCTTTTGGGACCTGCCATTTCACTGTTGTCTCATATTTTGAGCCTTGGTCCTATGGGGCTCTTTAAGCCAAAACAGGATTCTTTGGTGAGAACCTTAATGTTGCTTGTGAGTGATCGTGGGGGGGAGAATTGAAGAGTAACATTGGTGAATATTAAGTTTTACTGGTATAAGTTTAGAGCATGTTGTTTTTTTTAACCATGTGTCCAGTTTGAATGAAAGCTCAAAATAAACAGTCATTAAGAAAGTCTGAACTCATGGAAGAATGCAGTGGAAAGCATGCTGCCTTAAACCAGAAGCTGTGGTTCTCAAACTGAGTTCCCATTGACCACCAGCACTCCTTGGCCTCCAGACCAGTTCGTTCTGATGCTGAGATTGAGTAATGAGTTTCTTTTGCAGCCTTCAGAAAATATTAAAAGGGATACAATGATCTTATCTGCTTGTGAACACTTTCTCACAGTGAAACAAGTGAACAAGAAGTAAGCCATGTCAACACAAAGTCTTGGCCAGTAATGTTTAGTTACCTGCATAAATTAATGATGGGTTATTTGTATTTTTAATCTTTTATTACTAAGTAGCAAAAATTTCTTCCTAAAGAAGTTCTAAAGAAACCTCTAAGTTTCAGTATCATAGGATAAAGAGAATGCTATTCTAATAGAACAATCTGTCTTTCCTGTGTTTTACCATGTGAACTGTAAGTTTGAGATCCACTGTAGCAGGGGGAAGCAAATCAATTTTTCCAGAATGTTTTGCTGTGTTTTACTTTTGCCTGTCTAGTAAACTAATCTTAAGAATTTTTAAAATACTAACACCCCAACTAATCAATTTGTCTTGTGCACTTTGTGACTATGCTGAGTCAGCGTTCCTTAAATTACGCTCACATTGTCATGAAGCATGTTAACTTGTGCAGATTCACAATTGGTGTTCTGTCACTTGAACCTATGACTGAAGAACCCCGTGTGTAATTAGCAACATAAAGTTCTTTTTTATTTCTACAGTATCTCATTAAAGTTAATGAAATCAAGACCAAAAAGGGTGTGGACCTGCTGCAGAACCTTATAAAGTATTATCATGCACAGTGCAAGTAAGTAGGATGCCGCCATCCTTGTTAGCCCAAGGCCTCCTTCCCTTCATTGCTTTTCTTCATTCTCTTTCTTTCTCTTCTCCATTTGGTCTCTATGTAGAGTGATACAGTGACCAGTAAAATGGATAAGAAATAGTATTGTCCTCCATCTTCAGTGTTTTTTATAAATCAGTAAATCAGGGCCAACTATCTGACTCCTGGAAAATGACATCTTACAAATTCTAACCGTGGCTCTGATAGCCTGTGAGCTGTTAATACAGGTACATAAGTCCCTGTCACTGAAGTTGCCTTCTTGTTGATCCCCCAGAGGCGTAGTGAGGGGGGTGCAGAGGGGAATACCTGCCTCCCGAGGCACAAGTCCAAGGAGGTGCCAGTGGCATCACCAGGGGCGTGTCAACCACACTGGGTGACATTGTCAGAGGGTATGTCACCACATGGTCCAGAGATACGTCTAAGACCAAACTATGCAGGACTTGATCTGCTCCAGAAAGCCCGTGCCTGCTTCAGCCATGTTTCTGCGCTGCTCTCTGCTGCCGCGGCTCTCGATATCCGCCCAGGAGGATGCACTGGCCTGGGGGCGCTGCTGTCTGCTGCCGCAGCTCTCGATATCTACCAGGAGGATGCACTGGCCTGGGGGCACTGCTCGCCCAGCCGCCACAACCGGAGCGACCCTGGAGCCTGCCTGTCAACCCACCCGCCGCATGGGATGCAGACATCATGGGCGTGTGGCTTCTCCTTTTCGTGGCCATTGTCAACATCTATTCATCTTGAAATTTGGGGGACGAGGCACAACTTAGAGATTGTCGTGGGTGCTCAGTTTGGTCGGGGGCACAATTTAGAGTTTGCCCCTGGACTCTCGTTACCCTCCCTATGCCCCGTGATGCCCTGTCTCCCACCCTTGTTATTTTACTATTATTGGATCATCTGCAGCAAGTAGTCCCACCTGGAGTTATTTCTTCATCATCTAAATGAAATGAAGCACTTTGGGCATTAAGAACATTTTACATTCATACTTGGCTTCCTGTGCAGTTGGCGTTGTATTTTGACACATGTATCATTCTCCATTGGCACCATTTTGGTTTGTTTACCTTGCAGTGCTACCTACCTTTATTATGCCTGAGTTTCTGTGGCACCCTCTTTACTTACTTACTTCTTGTTTACTCATTAGGTTAACTTTCATGAGTTGTCTGGTAGAGCCTTTGTGTGAAGATGTGCCAGTTACTATTAATCAGTGGAACTCATAGAGAAAATAGTGATCCAGACAGCCCTCACATCTGTTAAGTAGAATAATGTGAGGACTGTTTGGACTAGATAAAATGCTTACTCTCCAAAAGGGTGAAATATGTAATTTTCTTTTATAATCTCTCTTACTCCTTTTAGTTTCATTATATCTAGGAATATGTTTGTGTTTAACTGAAACATTTAAGGAGGTCAGCATTAATATTGTAGGAAAAGCACAAGGCTTGAGTCAGACAGATAGATCTGAGGTCCAATCCTGGCTCTGCAGCTGAGTAACCGTGCAGGCTTTATCAGGTACTTCTCTGAACTTCAGTGTCCTCGTCTCTCTCATCTGTCAAGTGGGTGCTACATAGCAACCACCACATAGGTTTATTGTGGAGATGTGAGAATTAAATAAGATAATACATATAGGTTGCTTAGCCAGGTACCCGCGACATTATGCATGTTAGCTGTTGTGATGATTCTCAGAGGCATTAAAAATAGGTCATTCATATATTTTATTGTCCAGAATTTTCTTCAGAAAAGACTTTTTAATGATCATTTACATAATTTTCCTCTTTTCTCCCTAAATCTACTTTGATTCAGCGTGTTTAAGAAATAAAAATAGTATATTGAAGTGGAAACAGTTTCCACATTTGTAAGATAAAATTTGACTACTGAAGCCTCATACTGAAGACCTGGACTAACCAATCTTTGGCTTCATAGTGTAGGGAGGCGGTTATGAAACCCTGAAATGTGGTGGCCCCTGATTGTAGTTTGGGGTGGAATTTTTGGCCTTTCATCAATTTCAGTTTTCCTAGGAACATTTCATTGCTTTGAAACTTTTACAGAAATAAGTGAACCTCTCAGTCTTCTGAATTACAGTACTTTGGCAGCAGACCTGAATTCACCAGATTTTCAAAATCTCTTTTGATCTCAAATTCTGTAAGTCTCTACTGTAGAGGAAGATACTGTAGAGTTTGACCTACACAAATAAGAGCTTTCCAAAATGTAAGATTCCTTGTAAAATATTCAAATATTTGCCTTTGTCAGTAACGATGAAAACAACTCTGACCTATATAGCTAAAGCTACTTCCCTTGATTCTTTTCTTTGCTTTTCCCTTCCCACAGATACTTATTAATCTTCTACCAAAGGCCAGGCATTTGTTAGGTTCTACCCCTAGGAGTTAATCATCTGGTCTAAGAAGTTAAGTCAGATCCATCAGTAATTAGGGCTAGGAAGTGATGGGAGAACTACAGGACATCAAGAGAAAGAGAGAGTCCTGGCGAGGAGACACAGAGAGGTTCCTTAAAGGAGGTAATGGCACTTGGGATTGGACTTGGAGGATAGCTTGGATGTGGCCATTGAAATCTGACAGAAGAATCTTCTCCCAGGCCAGACAGAGATCAGCAGAAGAAACCCCTACTCGGTAAAACTTCCACGGGTGGAGAGGTGTTCTAAGATATCAAGTAGTAGAGCTGGGTTACAACAGGATTCAACCCTAAGTTGACCCCAGGAGAGAAGCCAGGGTAGTTTTCTTTCAAGGACTTTTTAAATTTTTTCCCACTTTAATCAATCCCTCAAAAGTCTTGATAGACATGCAGTAGACTTGTGAAGCATCCTCTGCTTATCTTTTATTCTCAGTACCTAGTGCAGTTCCCAAAACGATTTTCAATACAAAGTCAGATGGTACTCAACAGTGAGTTTGCTCTGGTAAACCCCACATAGTCATAGCTCTTCAGGGTGGATGCAGCTGCTACACAGAAAAATAAAGGCAGCCGAAAAGAAAAGCTTTGGGCTTTTTCTTATTAATTTTACCCCACCCACGCCAATGACTCCTTACTTTCAAACATGAAAATTGTCAGTAATAAGCTGTTTTCAAAGCAAGCATATTACCTACTGCACACACACTCGTCTCACCACCTAGCACTGGGTAGCTTGATGATATGCATAGGTAAGCATCATCCCTGTCTATATATAACAGCAATTTATATATATATATATAAATGAACAAAGGATGAGTAGACTTTTCTTTAAAAATATATGTATATATTTATATATGTATATATACACAGACACACATATATACAAATGACCAGTAAGCACATGTAGAGATGCTGAATGTCATTAATCACTAAAGAAATACAGTGAGATACCACTTCACTCCCACTAGGATTACTGTAATTAAGAAAATAACAAGATAAGTTTTGTCAAGGATGTGGAGAAATTGGAACCCTCATACACTGCTGATAAAATGGTACATTCACTTTGGAAAACAGTTTGGTGGTTCCTCAAAATGTTAAACATAGAGTTACCATATGACCCAGCAATTCTACTCTTAGGTAAATATCCAGGAGAATTTATAACATGTCCACACAAAATCTTACACATAATCTTGTTCATAGCAGCATTATTCATGACAGCTAGAAAGTGGAAAACAACTCAAAATGTCCATGAACTGATAAATGGATAAGCAAGATGTGGTGTATCCATACAATGGAATATTATTCAGTCATAAGAAGGAATGAAGTGCTTACTCAGTCTGCAGTGGATGGTCCTTGAAAACATTATGCTAAGTGAAAGAAGCTAGTCACAGAAGGCCACATACAGAGAGTGGATTAGTGGTTGACAGGGACGTGGGGAGGAAAGAATTTGGAGTGACAGCTAACAGGAATGGTATTTCTTTTGGGGATGATAGAAATGTTCTGGAATTAGATAGTGGTGATAGTTGCACAACATTGTGATTATACTAAAAACCACTGAATTGTGCACTTTTGGTAAGTTTTTGTTACTGGAATTTTATCTTCAATTTAAAAAAAAACAAAACAAAACAACAACAACAAAGGCCAAATGAAGATCCATGCCCTTGTGGAACTTACACCTAGAAGGTGACAGACCCAAGTCTTAAACCCCGATCTCTTTAACTCCAGAGTTCATGCTCTTTGATCTGAATTATCAAGATGTGTTTTCAGTTAATTAGTACATACACTAACTCCTGGATTCTCAAGTTTCTTAAACACCATAGGATATACATGGAATGTATCTGAGAGAAAATGTCACCATGTTGCCTGGAATGCTGGAAATCAATACCTAATTTAGTCAGTCTGAAGCTTAGAAAGCAGACTTTCAGACATGGTTGATTTGTTGATGGGTCACTTTATTCTTTTATTTGATTTGTAGTTTGGAAAATAATCTCCACGGTACTCTAGAATATCCTTACTTCTTTTGAAAATAATATTTTGCTCTGAGCCTTTCAACCTTTGGCCACATAACACCTCTTTCTAAACCAAGCCAAGCAGAATATGTGATAAGGGAAATGAGGGAGATAACTCTCGTCTTTGTTTTAAATTAAAAGCAGAATGAACCACAGTGTTTTCTTTCCCCATCACTGTTTGGACAGAATGATTTTGTGAAAGACTGCTACATAAAGATCTAATTCTACATAGCGACCCACTCAGGATAGCAAAGATTCTGGTTCATTCTAAGGAGGATGTGTCCTGCCTGATATTGCGCTTCAGTGTGGATTGGTGATCATGTTAGAAACTCAGGAGCTTGCACCTTGCAGGTGTGGGTGTGTTACAACCCGTCTGTGCAAATGTGAAGATTCTTCTGCCCATCAGTTGGCAACTTAAATTTTTCTAGTATCCTGTGTCATTAAAATGTGGTAATATTTCTTTCAAGTTGCTTATTTAGAAAGTGAAGTCAGTCCTGCTGTTGCTAAGGTCAGAGAAGTAGTGAAGCCTATTTTGTTAGACTGTGTATTGAACTACTTCTCTGTGCCTGACATTTTAAGTACATTATCACCAGTGCTCACATGAACGCTCCAAGGTATATACCGTATTCTTGGCCAATAACATGACCATGTAAATAACAATTCCACAGATATAACACGTGGAGTTGTGCGATTGGCCAAAAACCATATCAGGTACGCGTTATTTGTGTAAAATACAGTGTATTATTATCTCCATTTACTGTATAAGAACACTGAGGCTCAGGAATTCAAAGATTATGTGTTTATTAAGTGATAAGGTCAGGATTTGGACCAAGATCAGCCAGACTTTTTTAATTACCTGTGCTCCAGAGATAGGAAAATTTACACCCAGATTTCAACTCTACCACTTATTAGCTGGATGACCCTAGATAAGCCAGTTTGGACCTCAGTTTTGTTATCTACAGAGTTAGTAATAATAAACTATTTTGTTGGATTATAATGAAACTTTTTAAAAGGTATCCCATGAATTGTGCATAGTAGTGAGTAACTGGCACAGAGTGCTATTCAGTCGCTTGCTAGCACCATTATCATTATTACTGTTACAGTCATCGTTTGTTTTCTGAAGATCTTGTTATATTTCAGTAGTTTACAGAGAAAATGGCCAAGGGACAAATGGGATGTCATAGAGGAAATTTCTCTTTCTGTTTGAAAGGCTTCTGTGTTCAAGTTCAGTAATAGGTAATCATAACTGACATTTGTTCTCCCCTTTCCAGTTAATAAAACACTTTCATCTCTAGTAGCTTATCTCGTGCTCTGTGAAGCTAGATAATGCTATCCACATTTGGAGATGAGCATGCTAATGTTCAGACCGGGTTAATACCTACCCAAGGTTACATGTATAGGAAGATTTAGAGCCAAAATGTAATATGCTTTGAGTCCTAAGCCCGTGCATTTTCACTGAGCCTCAAAAAAAAACCTGTTACCATCGAGTTCTTTGTGACTCATAGCGACTCTGTAGGAAAGAGTAGAACTGCCCCATAGGGTTTCCGAGGAGCACCTCGTGGAATCAAACTGCCGAACTTTTGGTTAGCAGCCAAACTCTAACCACTGTACCACCAGGGCTTCTAGTTGCTACCATATTGGAAAGCACAGATCTAGAGCATTCTCATTTAAACTCACTTGCTATTTTTTAATGTGGTGATTATGTTCCCTTTATGTTGAAAGTCACAATAAATCAAAATACCTGCAAAGAATCTGTATCCCTCTGGGAAGAAATGAACTTATGTGATTATCCTTTGCAGCTCCAGGGAGGAAAACTAACATTATTGAGCACATTGACTACCCAACACTTTGCTTGGTGATTGCATATGCATTGTCTGTATTATTAACTTTGTTTTACCCAGGCACAAACTGAGGCTGAGAGAAGTTAAGTGACTTGCCAAGGTCTCAACTAGTAAATCCTAGAGCACAGATTCTAGGCCATGGCCATCTGACCCCAAAGCCTTTGCTTTTTCTGTTCTGAGAAGTCCTGACAACATTCCTCTTACGTTTATGCTGTCTACCTTCAAAACCTTTCTCCAGAAATGATTTAAAGTGCAGGATCAGGGACCAGAATTGATCTTGCTGTGATTAACTTTGTGGCCATACTTTTCCTTCCTTGGCAGTCTACGCGCTTTCTCCCAGATGTAGAAGATGCCGGTTCAAGTTAACACTTAGGACAGCCTGCTCTGTAATGAGCTGCTATAGGGCTGGCTCTTAGACCTGGACATAATCGAGTGCCCACAGATGCCCACTCCCTGACTGGTGAGACTAAGGAGAGCTGCTCGGGGAGGTAGTAAGTGAGCTCTACCTCAACAGAATGAGTGAGTTTAGCAGGCAGAAGGAACAGCATATGCAAAGGCTGGGGAGAGTAGGAAGAAAGAACAAGCAACTAGACATTATATAACATGACTGGAACTCATTCAAGAGGCAGTGGTGGGAGATAACTAGAGAGGTACTGAGGAGCCAGAACACGAAAGTTCTTTAATACTGTGCCGAGAAGTTTGACTTTCATCCCAATGGGCAGTCATGGAAACCTGACCGTTAGAAGGTGAGATTTTGAGTGCAGTTATCTAGTTAAGACTTTCTAAAAACGGTGTTTCTCTTCCTTATTTTAGTAAGGGTTCTTTGCTGGAGATAGGAACCTTAGAAAATTTTAGAGCTTACAGAACCTCAGTAAGCACTCTTTGATGTCCACTTCTGATTGGATGTGTTGTTACCATTGAATATACATATAACCTTCAAAAAATGTGGCCTCAAGATGTGCCCTACAGATTCTTAGTATTGCTGTATTCATAGCCATTTACCAAGCATTTGTTTTGTGCCAGGTCCTCTGCTAGGCCCTGTGATGTGGAGATGAGAGAGTCCTGGTCCTCAAGGACCTCATCTTTTAGTGGGGAGACAGCAAACAGAGTAGATTGAGAAATAATCTGCTGTGAGGGCATGGTTAGAGAAGCTTTCAATGTGACAGATGAAATTCTAAACACCAGTTTACTGAGATTGACTCCTGTTTCTCTAAACGGGTGCCACAGATGGGGCTCCTGAGTGCACGTGTTCAGCCTCAGACAAGAAGTATCTTCGCCTGGTAGTTCCGAGCAGGGCTTCAGAATCAGGCAGGCCTGAATGGAAGTACCCAACTTGTTAGGGTTGTTGTGAGGATTAAATGAGATAACTCATGTAAGGTGTTCAGCAGAGTGCTTGGTGTATGATAGGTGCTCATCAGTGCTCTCCAGTGTTAGCTGTTGTTATTATTCAGGAGGAAATAATGCAACCTTCTGATATATGTGGTGGGATTAAGCTTTCCAAATCCATCGGTACCACTGATTTTAAATCCTGTATTTCAAGTATGTATTGGAACACAGGGATTGTTGGGGAAATGAATGAACTCTTTCCTCCTGCCTTTAGTTCAGTCACATCTCTCCTTACGGTATCCATTTCAGCTTCACTATAGTCCACTGATGAATGTGCCTTTCTCTTTTGATTTCAAATGTAGCATAACCAGGGTAATTGTTCCATGTATAGATGAAGGTACACATTATGAAATTGCTATGTTGGGACTAGAGCTGTAATTTACAGTGTGTGTATGATATCTATGAGTTTAATAGCTTGAACGGTGGGCTCAAACATAACAATAATTGTGAGGCTGGCACAGGACCAGGCAGTGTTTCCTTCTGTTATAGAAAGGGTCATTGTGAGTTGGAGCCGACTTGATAACAATTAACAACAACAACGTGATATCTACTGTTGTTGTTAGGTGCTATCAAGTCAGTTCCAACTCACAGCGACCCTGTGTACAACAGAATGAAACACTGCCTGGTCCTGCACCATCCTCACAACTGTAGTTGTGCTTGAGCCCATTGTTTCAGCCACTGTGTCAGTCCATCTCGTTGAGGGTCTCCCTCTTTTTTGCTGACCCTCTACTTTACCAAGCATGACATCCTTCTCCAGGGACTGGTCCCTCCTGATACAAGGTTTTCACCGGCTAATTTTTTTCAGAAGTAGACCACCAGGTCCTTCATCCTAGTCTGTTTTAGTCTGGAGGCTCAGCTGAAACCTGTCCACCATGGATGGCCCTGCTGGTATTTGAATACCAGTGGCATAGCTTCCAGCATCACAGCAACACGCAAGCCACCACAGTACGACAAATTGACAGATGCATGGGGTGATATCTACTAGCTAATGTCAAATGGTACCCAGGTTTTATTGTTGGTACATCTTTATAAAATTGTGGAATTAGTTTTATAAATGTTTTGTGTATATTCATGGGTATAGAGAAAAGATATTTTCAGATTTTGCAGGTTATTGTGGTTCGATTCTTTTTTTGTATTGCTGATAAATCTCCCATTGTTTTTCATTGTAGTTTCTTCCAAGATGGCTTGAAAACAGCTGATAAATTGAAACAGTACATTGAAAAACTGGCCGCTGATTTATATAATGTAAGTTATCTATAAAATACATGGGTTTTAATCTGCTCTCACAGGTAAATATGAATAAATTAGGAATTAGTAAAAGAGTATCAAAGAAGAGATTTTTTTGATTGAGTGTTGTGTCAGTATAAGCCTTCGGTCTAACTCAGAGAAGTAGTCAATGGCCAGATATCCCACAGCACCCTTTGGGGACTAGAGGGAGCAGGGAGGGATGTGCATAACCATGACTCTAGATAGCGCTCCTTTTGGGATTCAGTAATGTCGCATGCAAGTGCCCCCTTAAGCAATTGTAGAAAGAATGTTTGATCCTGGAAGGATAAAAATTAAGTGCCTGTCTCTGAGTAGGCAAGTTTATGATTCTTTTTTTGCCTGTTTTATATTTTCTCTTTCTCTCTGTCTCTCTTTTCTTTTCCCTAATGTGCAAGTTTTGCTTCTGTAATAGGAAAATCAAATGTAAACTTTTTGGGGAAAAAAACTGAATGTATAATGTAGAAATGGTAAGCTTGTTTCCTATAAACCACATAAACCCATACTAAACCCATTGCCGTCTAGTTGATTCCCACTGATAGCAACCCTATAGGACAGAGTAGAACTTCCCCATAGGGTTTCCAAGGAATGGCTGGTAGATTCGAACTGCCGACCTTTTGGTTAGCAGCTGCGCTCTTAACCACTGCATCACCAGGGCTCCAGATAAACCACATGGTGTTGAATAATATTAAGAGTATATGTACTGTGAGTGCAAGTACATATGTTCAAATAAAGTTTCAGAATTATAAATAATAATACCTCATATTATTATTGATAATACTAATACCTATAGGTTTTTGTTTTTTCCTGATTTTAACAGTTAACATGGTTCAGGTTAAGATTAAGTTCTGAGTAATTTAAAAAGCAGCACCAATCCCTCATCCTCATGGAGTACTTTGTGAACTTTCACATAAGCGTTAGCCTGTTGGAGTCCTGGTCCTTCGTGATTCTCTGCTGGCCCATCGAATCACATCATGGTGTTCCCACTGCCACTCTTTGAAAAACCAGAAGCAAATGACCTTAATGTTATTTCTTAACTTTGTTTAGAACAGTACTTAGAGTTCATTGTCTAGCCTAGATGTGTTATTTAGTAAGAAAGCATATTGCGCTGTTCATTGATTTCAAAACTTACTGGTACTTTCCTAAGATGAGAATACCATGCTTCTCATATATCCCAAAGGTCTTTCATAAGGAAATCAACTACATAATTGACTTGTTTGGTGAGTGGTACATTTGGGTGAATTAAACTCTGCTCATAAAATTATAAATGATAAGTAATAGAAGTGTTTTTGTTTTTTTTTTCATAGATAAAGCAGACGCAGGATGAAGAAAAGAAACAGCTGACTGCACTCCGAGACTTAATAAAATCCTCTCTTCAGCTTGATCAGAAAGAAGTAGGTGATCTCTGTGTTGCTGGCGGGGCTGACAGTATAAGCAAGGCTGCTTGTATACCCTCTGTGTTTCCTGAGCCCAGGAATAAAACCGGCATGTTGCTAGCTTCCTGTCAGGGTGGTTGTGGGATAAAGATGTAGGGTACAAGTGTGAACCAGCTGTGTGAGCCAGTGTAGAATCTGTGAGCTTTAGTTCCCTCTCTCTCCCTATAAAAAAGCCTTCCCCTGCTGCCCTGTCCCATTCCATGACTCAAGGTTTTTCTTCCCGGCTCTGGAGATGAGGCTCCAGGGGAGGGTACCCTCAGGATGTCAGAAGGACAGGCTGTGACGTGTACCCCGTAATTATTCCCTTTAGACCGAGCTCTCCCTTTCTGGGAAGCTAGAAGGGTTGTGTCTCATTCTGCCGGGAAAATAGGGAAATCTTTTGATGCAAAATCCTATAGAAGTTTTGTTCCATAGTTAGGAAAATTAAGGTGAGGTGTTCCACAGACAATGAAATGGAATATATAATACATCGTAGATGTTAGATGAATGTAGTCTAGATCCTTAATTATAAATGTTATTTATTCATGTGTTTGTTTAATACCTCCTATGTGCCCAGCATAAGGAGCCCTGGTAGTGCAGTGTTTAAGTGCTCGGCTGCCAACCGAAAGGTCAGCAGTTCAAACCCACCAGCCACTCTATGGGAGAAAGCTATGGCAATCTGCTTCCATAAAGATTACAGCCTAGGAAACCCTGTGGGGCAGTTCTGCTCTGTCCTGTAGGGTCGCTATGAGTCGGTATCGATTCGATGACAACAGGTTTGGTTTGGTATATGCCCAGCACTGTTGTAGGTAGTAAGCATACAAAATGAAATGAGCTTTCAGCAAGGAGCTTGCCAACTTGGAGAGTCAGCCATATTAACACGTAGTAGTTCCTAAAGTGGTCTCAGTGCTATAAGCAGTCTATTGGGAGGCGATGTGCAAGAGACAAAGGGCAGAATGAGGAAGAGGTCGTTCTTGGCAAAGAGAGGAGACTGAAAAAGACTCAGAGATGGAAAACTGCCTGGCATACTTGGGGCTGCAGGCGGTCCAGCACAGGGCACGTGGAGGAGTGAGAGATGAGGTTTCCGTGGTGCGCTCAGACCTGACTGTGGAAGACGTTGGAGGTCGAGCTGAGAGCTAGGGACTTCGTCCTAAGGGATGACTGACCAGTGAGCACCACTTATTAAATGAGGGAAAGTCAACATGTGTCTGTTTATATTATGAAAATTATTAAAGGTTAAATTTAAGTCATTTTTAAAATGCAGTGTTTAATAATAGTCACATAAAATACAGCGTTTTTGTTATATTATCAATTCCTTGTGATATTATCTCACAACTATGTTAAACTGATTTTATTTTTTAAGTACCTAAAATTTCTGGAATGGGTTCATGAGTCCAAAACAAAAACAAAGCAGGCCACCTGAAGGCTGGGAAACTGCACACCAGCAACACTATTTAAAGCAACCCCGAGAGCTCTCGTTACTGAGGAAATTTAACCCTCTCTTCCTCTGCTTCCTAAAATCCAATTTGTGTATGCACTGGGTTTTCATGAAGTGAGAGGTGTATGGCTCTTTAATGCTGGGCGCCTGCTGACCCGTGCAAGTGGGCATCAGTGGCCAGAAGATCCGTGTGCAGGAAGAAAGTCAGTTCCCACCTCGTCCAGAGTCGCAGCCAAAACCTGCACCTCTGTTCTGAGGCATCAGACTGTGTTTAGAACAGCTTCTGGGTGTCAGAACCCATTAGACCACAGACTAAACCACAGATAGGCTGTACTCTTGAAGGTGCTTATTGCTGGCATACAAACCCTGGGAGAAGTGGTCTCCTCCTTGAATGAGCAATAAAACCAAAAAACTAGTTGCTGTCTGGTCAACTCCGACTCACACCAAGCCCACGTATGTCAGAGTAGAACTGTGCTCCATAGAGTTGTCAATGGCTAAAGTTTTGAAGTTAGCTCACCAGGCTTTTCTTCTGAGGTGCCTCTGGGTGGACTCGAACTGCCAACCTTTAAGTTAGCAGCTGAGCACATTAACCATTTATACCACCCAGGGACTCCTGTAAGAGCCATAGAAAGATCCAAGTGGAGGGGGTAGGAGGTGGGTTTCTATCTAGGGAGAAAATTGTGAGATTTCATACTCACTGGTATGCACTCAACCACTTCCTGCCTTTGTTTTGTCACACAAGTTACCTCCTTCCTATACATGGAAGCTTTCTTGAAAAGAGAACCATTGTAGACCCTTTTTGTTTTGCGTAGAGACCGGAGTATTCCGCTCACGCTAGCTAAGGAACAGATTTATGTGTACTCCAAAGGAGTGTGTACATGAGGAAATGCACATACTTGGATTTATTTTAACTCCACCCCAAGTTAATAAATGATGAGTTTTCATTAGCACCACATCCATGAGTATCTTGTGAGTAGAATTGATTTTTCACAGCGTGCCTGTCCCATTCTCATGCTGTTTCTCACCTCTCATTGCAAGATGAGTTTAGAAGGTAGTGATTTTTAATGACTTAGAATAAATAGGAGAGGAGGCTGTTCATCAGAGAGTTCTGGCCACAGTGCTCCTATTTAAGAAGAGTGCAAAGTAACCTATAAAATGACCTGAGAATTTAAAAGCACCCAACAAATCATGTAGCCTACTCACCACCAGTTCTAACTTGGCTGTACTAAAAAGGAAGCTTCAAAAATTTAAGTTGTAAATAGGATCCCAGGATGTTTGGTACATTCATTTATTTCCTTGTCAAAATCAAATTTAGTCTTTATTGTCTTTGGCAGATGCTCAATGAATTTTGGAGCCCTGGTGGTGTAGTAGTTAAAAGTTCAGCTGCTAACCAAAAGATTGACAGTTCAAATCCACCAACCACTCCTTGGAAACCCTATGGGGCAATTCTGCCCTGTTCATAGGGTCGCTATGAGTCAGAAACAACTCCATGGCACCTAGCCAACAACAACAACTATGAATTTTAATTATCTTAAGCTTTTATGATAGCCTAACCTCCTAAAAGAACTATTTGCTGCATAACTATGGTTAGGGTTGAAAATATTTTATTTTTAATAATGATGCCCATAAATCTTATTTAGGATATACTAAATCATTCCAAAAATTCCAACTTTTTATTTGAGTCTATTGATTGGCTGTCTTAATAGTCCATTATAGTTCAGTTTGCAGGTTGTTTGAGAGCAGGTTCTTTCTTCTTCACAGTGTCTGGTACCTAAAAGCTACTCAGTAAATATTTAGTAAGATAAAATGGAAGGAATCCTTGGCCCACTCCACTTGTACCTTCCATTAGAAATTTGAAGCTTCTCCAATAGTGGGTTAGTTTTAAATTGGATGCCAGAAACATTTATAAACCCATTAAATCCATGAGTGTGTAATTGCTTGCAGTTTAAAAAGATTTGAGAGTTTACTCTTTAATAATGCATTTTATATGTTAATAAGGTTTTCTAATAAGAAAGTAAGGTGATTTGTCTGTACTGCTAATAGAGAAAGGAGCCCTGGTGGCACAGTGGTTAAGTGCTTGGCTGCTAACTGAAATGTCGGCAGTTTGAACCCATCAGCCACTGCGTGGGAGAAGAACGTGGCAGTCCGCTTCCATAAAGATTACAGCCTTGGAAACCCTACGGGGCAGTTCTGCTCTGCCCTGTTGGAACTGACTCAACAGCAATAAGTTTGGTTTGGTTTTTTGGCTGTAGAAAATAGTAAATTAAAGTAAAAAATAAAAGCATGGTTCCGTTCTATAGTTTACATTCCTTAGCTCACATAATGAAATTGCCCCCAAAGCATTTTAAATTCATTGTTTTAGTTTAGTTTTCTATTTCTGCCTGAATGAGTTTCCCATTTGTTTCCCCCTTTTGTTGAAACATGTTGATTTCTGTTGTGCTGTCAAAGGATTTAGGACCTATTTTATTCTTTCTGTTGTATTTTTTTGAATTACTATTAGTGTTATTAATTCTCCAAGGTCTGCTTTCTGAAAAAGGGAAATCCTCTTTTCATTTATCAGGAGCGCCCCCTAAGCAAGCTGAATGGCCATCATTTCTCAAATAATAATTAATGTGTCTTTCTTAAGCCATAAAACTCATTAGTAGCTAATTTAGACAGGTTGATGCTAGACTTCTGAAATATTGCTTCCTTCCTGCTCAGTTTAATAGAATATGTTTCTGAAGTCAAAGCCTAGAATTCAGCCATTTTATTCACCTTTGGAAGCATATTTGTCTGATATAAAGCAACCTCAAAAAAAAAAAACCAAACCCATTGTCGTCGAGTCGATTCTGACTTATAAAAACCCTGTAGGACAGAGTAGAACTGCCCCATAGGGTTTCTTAGGCTGTAAATTCTTTATGAAAGCAGACTGCCCCATCTTTCCCTGTGGAGCTGCTGGTGGTTGGAACTGCTGACTTTTCGGTTAGCAGCCAAGCGATGAAACAGTTCGCCACCAAGGCTCCTTTAAAGCAACCTAAGTGTTTGTTATAAAGAACTTAAATCTTATTTAGTCTACCAGTAAATATATGTAAGGAATGCTTAATAGTAAGTTTATAGAACATAATGGTTTAATAAGTTATCAGCATCAGAATCTTTGTTTTTAAAAAATCTTTTATTTTTAAAATTTAGGCTTTTGTATTATAGATTAGCAAATGGGTTAAAGTTAGAGATAATGTATTTTAGAGCATTCAGACAGACCTAGGAATTATGTGGTCATGTGAAGAAGTTTAGTTCAGTGAAAAGGGTTCTAAGGAAGGAGAGTTATTCTTGTAATAAGAATTAACATAGAAGGAGATTTTAGATTCTGCTTTTAATATGTTTCTGGAGGTATATATATGACAGCATCCTTGATCCCAAGTCCATAGTTGAGTAACTTTTATGCGATTTCATTGGATTAAAGCAGAAAAATCTTTGGATTTCATTTATTCCTGCCTCTTGTTTCATGGCTCAGTTCCCTAACACTCAGCTCTGATTTTTCTTTATTAGGATTATGGACACATTGCTGCCTCCCTCAAAAAAAAAACCCACATCTGTTACTACTGTTGCTATTGGGGACTGTCACTAGGCAGTGGTAGAGGAAGGCTGCGCCTTTGAGTAGCTGGTATTTAGGACAGCCCTTAGTCGTCGCTCCATCCAGAAGGCCTGGAAGGCCCTGTCAGGGAGGGAAGGACTCAGTGAGCCAGATGACTGTGGAATTCAGGGATGTGGCCCCAACTCAAAGTCACCATATGAGGAATTTTTCAAGCAATTCCTAGATTCTAGTCCACTCCGCACCCCTCCCTGTGTGATTAAAATTCCCCAATTAGATGTTTCAGCAGGAGGGAATCTGGCAGGTTAAGACAGAGAAAATACTGAGATTAAGAAAATGGCTAGGGTTTGTTATAACCTGTTTAACAGGAGTCACTTCCCTGGTGAAGTGTAGAATCCTCTCTCAGTTACCCACACGAGAGAACAGACCAGTGATGTGGTCACGCTGGAAGCATTGGCCTCAGAGACAGACACTGCATCCTAGCTTGTGTCCTCAGTACCTTTCATGGAACCTGGCTTTTAGGAGGGGCTCTGGACATGCTTTTTTTTTTTTTTTAAATTGTACTTCAGGTGAAGGTTTACAGAACAGATAGTTTCTCATGAAAAGTAGTACACATATTGTTCTATGACATTGGTTAACAACCCCACAACATGTCAACCCTCTCCCTTCTCGACCCTTTTTTGGACATGCTTTTGAGCACAGAACTCATCATATGTAGAACAGCCTTACAAAGGTGCATCATTCCAGAGATTTTCCTTCTGCTGTTTTTACATCTGGGGCGCTGGTAGTGCAGTGGGCCGGCTGCTAACCAGAAGGTCAGTAGTTTGAATCCACCAGTCGCTCCTTGGAAACCCTGTGTGGCAGTTGTACTCTGTCCTCCCGGGTTGCTATGAATCAGTTCAACGGCAGTGGTTTTTTGTTTATTGGTTATTACATTAATTTGCATTCACTGAGCACGTACTGTGTGACCCCAAAGGATCCTGAATGCCAGAAAGAAGCCATTGTGATGTAAAAGGTATGCTGTGCGCAAACCGTGAGTAAGTCGTCAGTGTGAATTTGGCTTCCTGCCTCATCCCCATCGCATTTCAGGTGTTGCTTTAAAAAAAAAAAAAAGAAAAAAAACACCGCCATAGAGTTGATTCCTACTCATAGAGACCCGACAGGACACAGTAGAGCTTCCCCGTAAGGTTTCCAAGGCTGTAATCTTGAGGGAAGCAGACTGCCACATCTTTATCCACGGAGTAGATGGTGGGTTTGAACCACGGACCTTTCAGTTAGCAGCTGAGCACTTAACCACTGCGCCACCAGAGCTCCTCTTAGTATTTTTATTAAGGCTTCTTAGTATAAAACAGACCCAAAGAGTCCTCCTCCAATTTGTGGTTCTTATTATCAGTTGTTCTGAGCAGTTCTTCATTTTGGGTTTCACTGAGGTGTGGATTCCCTGTGCGCGCACACTGTGAGGTTTGTCATTTTATCTTGGTGAAATGTGTACCTCATGTTCTTCCATTCAGCTGTTTTCTGCTCTCACTCAACATGACCTGAAATAAACCTGATAAATGCAAAGATATTTTACTGTTCTGTCACCCCAAGTTTATCGGGTTGTGCGTATGCACTCACATAAAGACAAAGTGTGTGTGCATGCGCGTGTGTGTATGTGTGTGTTGTGTGCTTTATCTTTACAGTGATGTTCTCTACATGTATTATATAAAAATGCTTAAATTTTAGGTGGTAAGACTTTTCAGTGAAATTAACTATATTTTCAAATGTTCTGCCTTTTTTCTCTTGCCTTTGCCCTTCCCGATCGAAGTCTAGGAGAGTAAGTCAATACTTTTTGTGAGAATGTATTTTCCTGCTTATCTGTCTGAAGACCTGTGTGCTCATTCTGCATTTCAGCGTTAATTCATTTCTTACGTTTTCATTCTGTAATGGTTCTTTCTAGTCATGCGGTCTTCAGGAATGTGGTTAAGTCTCAGTGGAGTGCTCGTGTTCAGTCAAGCTTGTTTGCATCTCTGTTGTTGGTTTGACCCTCATCACCCTTTCCACCACATCAGCATTTTTCACTACCACAGAATCATCTTTCTAAATTAAAAATATGATTATAACTATATTTTACAGAGTACTAGTTACAAAACAAGAATTTTATAATAATTTTTTATACCCCTCTCAGAAGCAGCCCTTTTTATTGTGGGTATTTCTGCAGAGTGTGAAGGGAGAAACGGTATAGCCTAAAGAAGAACACATTCAGGTTGCATGAACTTTGTGTTGTGGTCCATGTAAATTTTACCAGTCCTTTCTGTGTTTGCCTCTGCTGCTGATGGAAACTGGTTTGAGTCGTATAATAGTCTGCCACTGCAGTGTGCTTGAACTCAGACAAGTAGAACAAGCGCCCTGGTCTAGAAATCAGGAGACCTGGACCCCAGCTCTGCCTCTGCCTTGCTTTATGCCTTTGGCGGTCGTTTACCTGCCTTGTTTCCTTCTCTATAAAATAAAGGCAAGTACCCTGTCAGCTCTTGAAGTTCTGTAATTGTCTCAGGCCCAGACCAGTGGGCAGAGGCTCAGTGGCAGAATAGAGTCCAGGACTTGAGAATTGTAACCAGTTTTTGTTAAATCTGTGGTTTCTTTTCTAGGATTCCCAGAGCCGACAAGGAGGATACAGCATGCATCAGCTCCAGGGCAATAAGGAATATGGCAGTGAGAAGAAGGGGTACCTGCTGAAGAAAAGCGATGGGTATGTGTGCCAGCCCCAGCACCCCTGTGTGTGATTAGCACACTTCCTGGGTGCTGTGACCCTCGGAACTTTTTTCAGCCTCTCAAATGGAAAAACAGACTTAAAAGTTTTCTACTGTGCTAGCTTCAGATCTTGAGCACACTGGTCTTCAAGTAAGTCTGAGGTTTCACTTGCTGTCTTTAGAAAAAGCAGTGATTATTCTGTGGCCCCTACATAGCACCCATGACATGTAACATGCATTTTAGGAAGGTAGGTGCTGAGTGGAACAAGAAGCAAGCAGATGGTGTGCTGGCCTCATACTCGCCCACCTCTCTGCTTTTGTTCCGGGAGTTTCCTCTGCCTGGAATGCCTCCCTGGCCGTTCACACCTCAACCTTGGGAGTCATCCATGACTCCTCTCTGTCCTCTTTTATCATAGCCAATCTAGCAACAAGCTTTCCATTTCTAACTCTGAAAATAATACATTTCTTGCCCTCTCTGCTGCCCCTCCTCGGTTGTGAGCCACCATCCTCTCTCCTGGACTATTTTTGTAGCCTCCTAGCTGGTCTCTCTCCTCTCGCTCTTCCCCTTCTCCAGCTCATCTCCACACAGCAGTCAGAGTGGTCTTTTAGAAAATACAAAGCATGCCATGTCATTCCCCTGTTTAAAATGCCCCAGTGGCTTCCCATCACATACAGGGTCTCGCTCATCACCCCCGCTTTCTCTCCAGCCTCATCTTGTGCTCCTTTCTCCCTGCTTCAAACACACTGGCCTTCTTTCTTGAACAAATGATTCTCCTTCACAATAAGTTTCTAATAAGCTCAGTGTGTTCTTCCTTTATGCTTTTTCTCCCTTTACACATTCTGCCAAGATGCCCACCATAAAAAGTGCTGCTTTTGAGAGAACATGATTACTCACTTTACTAATTGGCATCTTTTAAAAAAAAAAAAGTGTCCCAGCTTTTGATTGCTTGTGGATATGTGCTCCTGGGTTGACTAAGCCACGTAATTTTGTTGTTTTGTTTTAATTTGTTAAAATTGAAAATATTTCTGGAATCTTTGTCAGTTTTATACATCATTTTACTCATACATTCAACAAATACCTTTTGAGAGTCTGACTACCATGTTTTTATGCCAGTAACACATGTGTTCAATGTTTGTTTGCCAGCCACACCTCCCCGCAAGGTATTTTCATAAGCATCCTGTGCTGATTTTTTTACAGCCACATTTTAAAGTGGCGCAACATGCTTATGAAAATACTTTGCAGGGGGAGGCCGCAGTTGGCAAACAGAACACGTGTATTATTTGCATAAAAATACAGTACACGTCAGGCACCATTATAGGCACTGGACATACAGCATCAAACAAAAGAAAGTCCTTTCCCATATAAAGCTTACATCGAGAAGACAGACAATAAGTAAGTAAATACACAGTAGGTCGAATACTAATGAGTGCTGTGGAGAAAGAAAAAGCAAGACGAGGGATCCCGGGAGCATGGGAGATGGGAAATGGTTCTTGCTATCATACAAGGTGGTCGGAGAAGACAGCACTGGGGTGACATTTGAGCAAAGGCCTGAAGGAAGTGAAAGAATTGTCTGTGTGGTCACCTAGGGGCAGAGGGAATGGCCAGGAGCATGCCTAGCACTGTGATGAGTCTCAAGGAGTTCAGCATAGCTGGAGTAGCATGAGCATGCTAGGGAGTCATAGGAGATAAGGTCAGAGGGGCAGGGATCAACGTCACAGAGGGCTTGTTCCGAGTGAGATGGGAGAGCTCTGGAGGGTTTTGATCAGAAGAATGGCACAATCCATGACTCGTCTTGAAAGGGTCTCTCTGGCCTCCATGGTAGGAGTGACCGTGTACGGTGCTAGAGCAGAAGCAGGGAGACCAGTGGAGAGACAGCTCAGAAACACAGACTAGAGGTGGTGGCAGGGCCAGGGGATAGCAGCAGAGGTAGTGAAAAGTGGCCAAATTCCAGACAGTGATGGAAGGGCCAGCAGGATTTGCTGATCCAGGCTTTAAGGAGGAAAGCATCCCCGGCACATGGCATAGTGCCTGGCTGATCGTACACTCTCAATAAACGTGTGTTGACTGTTTACTGAGTTAGTCCTGCTGAAAATAAAAGAAGAAATGAAACACCAACTATCAAAATCGTAGCTTTACACTGGGCTCTTTTTAACACAGTAAGCAAATTATAGCCCAAACTGCACAGCACTGAGTGCACATAAATTACTAATTCTGTAGTTTATCATGCAGGAAAAGCCTCAGGCCCAGGAGCCCAGCCTTTTCCCGGTCACCTGTGGTACGAATCTCCCTTGGCCCCGTGGCAACCCGTGCTGCTCCAGCAGAAGGAGAGCTGCTAGTTTTGTGTTCTGTTGCAGACAGCAGCGTGCTGTTGGGAATCTTTTGAAGCAGAAGTATCGAACAGTCATGTTTTTAACACTCCTCACCTAAAGCCACGGTGGTTTTCTGGAAATTAGAATTCCCCGTTTCTAAGTGAAGTAATTAACATCTCTGCGTCCAAGGAAGGTCAGCAGGGTGTTTCCAAAGGTGGTGTTTTGTTCAAACCCTAAGATGTTCAAGGAGATTATCATCGTGTGATCATCTGCTGTGTGCCTGCCATACACTGCCAGGAACCTCACACACATCTCCGCTGGCCCCTTTCACAGATAAGGCAGCCCATTCCAAGGGGTCAGATAATTTGGCTAAAATCATACAGCCAGTAACTCTTGAGAGCCCGGACTTGATAGTAGGTCTTCTGACTTAATGCTGCCCTATCTGCCCTTGATATTCAAAGGGAGTGCATTGATGACCCTTGGGATACACAGGGCATAAACTGGCATAAGCTCACACCTGGTTCCCCGTTCTCTTGGTCTATTCTTCCTTCATGCATTCATTCCGGACATACTTATTAAGCACTCTAGTATCTAAGACAGTCTACTAGAGGCTGGAAGGAAAAAGGTGAAGACATGGTCCTCACCGTCACCTTGCTTGCAGTCTATTTGGAGGAAATAAGGGAAAAAGCCATTGCATCTTAGAGTTGAAAGGAGGTTGAAGTCAGGTGGTCCAACCTCCTCATAATTGCACAGGCAGCAAAGATAAATAATGACAACCCATAGTTGCTTGTGATTGCCTTCTGTGGAAGAGGAAAAAGTGAGATGCTTATACGTGAAGACACACTCATTTGCTAATGATGACTGCCCACGTGTCGCAGGATTTTCTCCGGAGGATCATTTGCGTTAGTAATTTCCAACCCTAGTTTTGCAGTTCTCCTTGTTACTTAAAAGATTGTTATACAATTAAAAATTTTTTAAAATAATGTTAACACTTTATGGCGCAAAGGCATTTATTGAGAGGCAAAGTAGCAGTTGCTTCACATGTATTTTCTGAAAATAGTCCTAGAAGGTGGGCATTACTGTCTTCATGATACAGATGAGTAAAGTGAAATTGTGAGACATTAAGTAACATGCACAAAGTCACACAGTTAGTGCGTGATGGCACTGGGATTGGAGCCCAGGTAATCTAGCATCAAAGTTAGTACTTGTTTAATTATACCAGGCTAGTTTCTAATAGAAAGCTCCTTTTCTGGAATTCTGAGATTCTGACATGGCATGACTGGTGAGTCTGTGTGGTGCCCTGTCTGAACACCAGATGGCGAAAGTCACTGGTATGTCCATTCAGTAGCCACACAGAGTAATGCATCGAAAAGCTTTCAGTAGAGACACAAAGCTCACCGCTAATTAAAGCTATTCCATAAAAGTTACAGGAATAAAAGTTATCCAAGTATTGATAAAAGATTGGGCATTGCTGCTCTCAAATCTGCAAGGAGATGTCTTACTTATCAGCCCTCTTCTCTGGCGATGTGGAAGTACTACATTAGTAATCTCTGTTAACCGGAATACTCATGCTTTGGGGTTGATTTCCTTGGCTTTATTAGCGGTGCAAGAGAATGTGGACCTTTTGGTTTTTTCCCTTAGTATGTGTGCATGTGTAAGAAAAACTAATGAATAAAGACTTTACTAAATGTACTGAAGAAGGGACAGTTTCCTCAGATTGAATAGTTTGTTTATTTTTAAATGTGGTGGTGGGGAAAGATGACACTGATTTTGGCTTTGTGTACAGGGAATGCCTCACCTGTGTTAACAGGTGAGGTGAGGGTAAGATGACGCAAAGCTGCTTGCAGAGAGTTTGGTCCTTAACCAGATGCAGGTGTGATTATTTGACAGCAGTCACTTCTAATCAAACATTTTCCTAGTTGGTACTTTCAGAGGAAAGTTATGTGATTTAGCTGTGATTTGGGGACAGTTTGTCAATTACACGCAGTCCCCGGGTTACAAATGAGATCTGTTCCTAACTGTGTCTTTAAGACGAATTTGTAGGTAAGTCAGATCAGGTGCATATGGTTCTTATTTAGCCTTACTTCAGTGCAAGAAAAGGCTCGAAGCCTTTTCAATGGTTTAAAAGTTGCTCGTGCAAGTGAAGGTGATTACAATGAAGAATTTGTTGTGAGTAGGGGTTGGTTCAGTCATTTCAAAGTGAGGGCAAATTTACGTAACATTAAAGGGTAAGTACAAGTTGTCCCTAAGTCCCGGACTTAACTGCAGTTGCTCTGAACTGCCTCCTGAGGAGACTAGAGTTTTGAGCATGGTGTGTTTAATTTTACATTTGGTCAAATGGTGTCAAATTCTTACTTCCCTTTCGGGAGCATGCTTTGGAGCAACCTTGCTTCTAGCAGTTACGTATAAAAGAAGACAGTATTATCTGTGTTTAGAGTGGGTTTTAAATTCATGTTGTAGCAGGTTTCTTACAGGAGTGATTTGAGGAGGAAAAGAAAAAGACGGCTCCTCTAATGTCACCTGTTCCCATGGCAACCCGAAGGCCTGAGACGCCTCCTCCTAGCCTAGAGAGCCGCTGTTGCCTTTCCGTTTCCAGTTATGCTATGCTAATAGTGTCAGCTGGTGTGCATTTGTACCTGGCCGCGCACGTGCACGTCGGTTCCACATGCAGTCACTCACCTGTATCTGGGGCTTCACACACAAAACCCTTCCAAGCTGAAATTCGTTTTATTTGGCTTTTTCCATCCTTCAGTGTCATCAAATCAAATTGTTCAAAGCGTGTATCAATTTCAGATACTTTTGAATGGTTTAACTGCAGTTTACTTTCCCATATCAATCACGAACAGCTCTCTTACAGAGGCTCTGAGGCATCATGTGGTTTGAAAGTCCCCCAAGGGGGAAGCATACAAGTTTCCAAAGGCGACGATGATGATACATTCACCAGGCCTGGCCCCTGAGCCTACTTTTCTATTTCCTGAGGCAGTCCCAGCCCCACTCTTCCTTGAGTTAGTACTTTCTTAATTTTTTACAATCTAGTTTTAATTACATAAGTAATAGCTTAATACAGCCTTCGTATAAAAAATTCACAGATGAGGTTAATCCCTTAGCACCACCTCCAACACAAGTCTGGACCCCCTCCTCTCAGCGTGGTAAGCCTCTTCCCAGATCCTTTCTTACGCATTTCTGTGTATATACATACCCAAAGAAAACAGAGTACTGTTTTATCTGTCTGAAAGTTTTTGAGGGTTTTTAACATTATTAGATCATACCTTAAGTATCTTAAAACAGCTTAGTTTTTCAGTCAACAATATGCTTTAGAAATCAGTATAAGTCAGCACACATATATGGTTAATTCATTCTTTTAAACTCCTACGTAGTACTCTGTAGCATGTATATAACTAATTCATTTATTCGTTTTCCTGCTATTAGATTTCTGTTGTTTCCCATTTTCAATATCAAAAACAGAATCATAATGAGTATCCTTGCATGTGCCTACCTGTCTGACTACCTTCCATCCAAGATAATAAAAGGCAACCAGAATTTTCTCTTGCGTGTGGTGGTGGTGTTTTTTGTTTTGTTGTTTTTTTTTTTTTTTCCTTTTTTTTTTTAATTATTACTATGCATAACACTGTATAACTGCATGCCCCAGGATGAACCAGATACTATATCAGGTTGTGTTTGCCTTGTTCTTTAGGCTCCGGAAAGTGTGGCAGAGAAGGAAGTGCGCAGTCAAGAATGGAATTCTGACCATCTCACATGCCACAGTAAGTGTGTCCGGTAACTTCCTGTGGTGCCCTGCTTATGCTTCCTGTCCACATAGACTGGAGAGCAGACTTGGTGATGTGGCCAACCTGAAAGTCAGCACTGACGTTTTTCCCAAATATAGTTAATGTATGGATTTGGGTCAGATAGTTCGGGATATTCTTTACACCACCACCACACCACACCACCACCCCCAAAAAACACTTTTATCTTATTCTGCAGTGCCCTGCATCTTATCTTTGTATTGCTCCACAGGAACTTGTTTTTTGCTTTCTCAAACTGAATCGGTTAGTCTTTGATTGTATAATCTTACCTCTTGGGAAATGTTATTGATTGTTGTTGTGAAGAGCCTAAAGTTTTCTGAATTATAAATATGACAGAAGATATCCTTTGTAGGAGGAAGTAATGTAGGAAATAATACATATAAAAATTTTAATCTTGATGATAATCAAAGAAGTAACCATAAAAACAAGTAATTACTATTTGCGCTTTTTAAACTAGCAGAAAATTATTTTTAATTCTCAAAGATTCCTAGATTATAATGGAAAATGTATCAAGCAAGAATGGAAATGGCAAGGTATACCCACAGTCTTTAACAACACGCATAAGGTTTAACTGAGTAATCCTGGCTTGGAGAAAAACTTGTTAACTTTTAGCATCCTGGGGCAATTACGTCCTTGAGTTATGTATGATAAGCAGTTAGTTGCTAATAGGGCAGTGGCAGTGAGGGGTGAGCATTTACTACCTGGCAGTGTTTCATTGTTCACAGTCGAGTTTGGATTTCCCTTTGTTGAAGAAAGGAAATCCCACTTACTAAGCACTTCTTCGTACTGTACACATCATAATGTTTATTTCACTTAATCCTCCCACCAACCCATGTGGTATTATAACTTCGTTTTACAGATGAGGAAACCGAGGCACAAAGAAAAGCTGTGACTTGGCTAGTAAATGGCAGAGTCAGAATTCACACTTGAGCCTGTCTGGCATTGTCCATGTGCCCTTTCTGTTTACCTCTCCCCTGGCAGAGCCCCGTGATCCTACTAGCTGTGAGCTCCCCAGGACACATTCCAGGTCCTGTTCATCTTTCCTCCTTCACCCCTCACACAGACCTCGGGACACCAGACGTGCTGAGCACACACTTGTGACCATGTTCTCCTGGTAGATGACTGCCTGCATCCTAAAGATTATTGCCCGCTATGGACCTTGAGCAGTTAAATCATCTCCATCCTTGCCCCCTGAGGACCCTCTGGTGATTCCTCAGGTCTTCAGGTCCCACCTGAGATTTTTAACCATCATGCCAGTTGTGACCAACCATCAGAAATCATGCCAACAGACTTAGATCAGTTAGTAATTACCATTGAAGCTCTCTAGCAATTATTTGTTCATGAAGCTTTTATTGAGGTTCTGCTCTGCCAGGTGCTAGGCTGGTCATCAGCCCGTCAGAATATACAGACCTGCCCGTCTTCCAGAATAAACGGAGGTGCTTTCTCCTTCACATGTATCTGGGACTCACTGATTCTGTTACCTGGATCCTTATAAACTGCACTTCTAATCATCAGTCAGCTTTCCCTAGCCACACTCAGGCTCTGATGAGATCTGATTTTATTTGCTGATTTTGTTCTGAGTAGTGTGATCACGCTAATTAGTGAGCAGAGACAAAAAAGAAAAACCCCAAGAGAGATGTTATCACTTCTCCAGTCCTGAGGGAGTATTCTTCAGGTTAAACATACTAAAATAAAAATCTTTCATGTAGAATTTTTATATAAAGAATGATCTTTATATAGATCATACGTTTTTAGTTAAAGATTTGCTTTGTGTACCCTAACTCTTCACCTTCTGCCGAGAGGTCTTCCATTGGATAGGTTTGACTGTAACCGTCTTTACTAGGCATTTTGAGAAGTTACATAATGGTCTGTGGTCTGTTTCCTTAAGAGTCAGCTGTGGAAAGCAGCACATGGTGGTGAGAGATTGCATAGTTGATGGCGTGAACCAGGCAGACCTGGGTTCAGGTATCAGTGGCATTGCTTATTAGTTATATGACCTTGGACAATTTGCTTTAAAAAAGTTCTCTGTCATCCTCTCTTTTTTTCCTGCTGAAATACATTAAGGCTGTGATTAACAACAGATTATCATGTTGGTCTCATTGTTCAGTGGCTAAGAGAATGGACTTTGGCATCTGTCAGATTTGATTCTGAATCCCAGCTTTGCCATTTACTGTGTGACCTTGAGAAATATTTAACTCATGAAAGCTGCCATGAGGATTCAATGAGATAACCTGCTGTGTGTTGTCACTCATGCTTTGTGGGCACTCAGTTAAGTCTTTGTTGCTATTACTGTTATCTCTTTGGGTGTGGCTGGGGATATGGAGGTTATTGACAGGCAGCCTCTCCTGCTACAAACATCACAACTTGTTGATTCACCTCTCCTGCCCCACAGCAGCCCAGGGAAAAGAACATTCCTCCCACTGAGTTGTGTTATTCTGTTTTACCTTTTTCATTGGCAGTATTATTGTCAGAGCATAAACCTAAAGTCAGATTTTTTTTGTGCCAGTTACATCACTTGTAATCAACATCCCAGCTCCTGCTGAAAGTCCTCTGTAGCCAGTTTGAGCCAGGGCTTCAAGCCAGTTCATTCCAGTTCGACTCCCTACTGAGAATTTGCATTTCTGCCTCAGATATATTGATTCTGCATCTTAACAGGATTGTTATGTATACATAAGAATCACCTGGGGGCCTTGTTAAAATTCTTACGTATACATGGAATCAGTTGGGGATCATGTTAAAATGTAGATTCTGATTCAGTATATCTGGGATGGAAATGCACATTCTCAGCAGGGGATGGAACCTGAATAAACCTTTTCGAAGCCCTGGTTTTAGCTGGCTTTTCCTGACTTTGCAAATGACATTGATTACTTAGAATTAGGTTGAAAATCAAGGCCAGCCTTTTCCTGGGAAAACAAGGGATTCAGTGATCTCTGAAAAGGTGAAGGGAAGAACCTTTGTTATTAGAAAACTTGAGGCTTTTGTTTGGAACTCCTTAACACGTGGGAATTCCTCCTGCTTGAAGGGCCCCAGTGGATGTCACTGTTCCTGTTGTTCTTACCAGGTGGTTCCAGAGGGAGCCATGCAGGCATTAGATTAACAAGGCGTGGTCTGGTGACTTGACCACGGGCAAAGATCTGCTCCAGACAGCATTCATCTCCCCAATTTACTGTTCTAGAGAAAATACATTTCCTTGTACACCTGCAGGATTTACTGCCCATCCTTCGAATATTTAATCTGAAAATTCATTGTTTTTCAAGTATCTGTTCAAAAACAACTTTTTAAATTTACTATTCAAGATAATGCAACCCTGTACTATCAATTCAGTGGGACTTTCTGAATTTGCTGTAATAATAATGGCTTCCACTTAATAGACCATCTAGTGTATTGAAGCACGGGATAAGATACTTTAATTTCAAAGGATAATTCTAATGACCCTATGGCAAACATTTTAGTCTGCCTCAAAATTGAAGCCTAAAGAAGTTTATATCAAGCCACTGAATCATTATGGATATATTTCTATGCTTTGAATTGTTTGCTTTTCTCCTTTCCTTTTTTATTATAAGCATTACTTGTATAATAAAATAAATTATAAAAGAGAGGAAATATAACAGTTATAGATGGAGTATTACTTCGTTGTTATTCTCCTGAAAAACTAATTTCAAAAGTATAAGAAGCTGTGCTTTTTAAAAATGCTTACTTTCTGAGTTCAGTAACCTCAGTGTCACATACAGTTTAAGTTATGGGTTGAAAAAGAAGGAAATACGTTTTACTGAGCCCTTACAGCGTACTCTGCACTTAATCTTTAGGGTAGCCCCACGAGATAGATGTCACTGTCTTCCTTTTCCACCAAGCTGGAAGTTCTTAGGAGGTAGAGACAATGTCTTATTCATCTTTAAATTCCAGTACCTAACACATTGCCCAACACATAAGTACTGCTTAATGAATATTTCTTGAATGAAACTACATTTTATAAATAAACTAAGACTCAGAGAAATTAAATCACCTGCCTGAGGTCACGCAGATTGTAAACAGTGGGGCCGGTTTTCAAAGCCTGTGCCCTTCCTACTACATCCTGGGACTTTCCTCCAATGCTACATTGTTGTTAGGTCTTCGAAAGTTTCATGAATAATAGTTCTTTGAAATGAAATAAACGAATTACCTTGTCATTAGATCAATCATAGTACCTTGGGGTAGACAAGGTGGGAAGGGTTTCTGGGAAGGGCGGGGCATGTTGGTCATGAAGATATTATGAGAGTTCCATGAATTTATATCTGAATTCAAAGATTGACTAAATAATGTCTTCCATTTTTCAAATGTCTGTAGTTGCCCTCATTAAAACCGTAACAATCGTTAAATCCATAGTCACTTATTTTTCAATCAGGCAACACTAAAAGTACTTTTAATGTAACACAGAAGTCTACTAAGAAGGTTTGGTGTTTTGCTGGAAAAGGGTGGGAATCCAGCTTGACTAGACCTGGTAAGCCTCTTTGGATTATGCACGTGTCCGAATGCTTGGTGATCTGGTTGTTTTAGGTAAGAGGCAGCCTGTGAGTCAGCCTGTAGTTAAGTGCCTGCTGAACTACTTATTGTGGATGGCTTTTGTGAAGCTACTTCACGTGCACGCCTCATCCATACGGTAGGAGAATAATAGTACCTCTGTCTTGGTGTTGTGAGACTTAAGTGAGATAATGCATTTAAAGCCTTCTAGAGCCTGGACAAGGAGCCCTGGTGGCACAGTGGTTAAGCACTTGGCTGCTAACGGAAAGGTCAGAGGTTCAAACCCACCAGCCGCACTTCTGCGGAAGCACATTGTGGCAGTCTGCAGATTACAGCCTTGGAAACCCTATGGGGTAGTTCTGCTCTGTCCTCTAGGGCCACTATGAGTCAGAATTGACTCCACAGCAGTGGGTTTGGTTTGCGTGGAGCCTGGGCCACAACGAGTGTCCAGTAAAGATTGT